CCAATATATATATAGCTCAAATGCAAGCCAACGTCGTGGGCGAGTAACTATCTTCTTACCTTACTTGGTGGACGCTGATGGCCACAAATCCCCACTGGAACTGATGTCAGTCTGTGACTGAACCTTGTAATCAATGAAAAACTTGTAAACAAACCCTTACTAATTAATCTTATGCACACTACGGACTGCCTGTATACAGGAAGTTACCTAGGGTTCTAGTGAGAAGTCGTGAAGATTAGGGTCCACCAAGTGGGATGGGAGGCTAGTTACTTTACCCACAACATTCGTATACATGCAGAGTTGTTGTTTGCAGATAGAGGTGATCTCTTTACTACCTCATTGACCATGTGTTTGGTGATGAACGTTTTAGGGTGACTGTTGTCAATTACCGTGTCGTATATAACCTTAAGTTTGTTTTCAGTCTCATCTTTTGAAAGAATATCTCTGACCCTATAGCTGAGAGTCTTTATCAAATTTCTTTTAGATCGGAAAAGAACAAAGCTGTGAAATTGTGTATATTGATCGGTCCAGGTACTTTTCTTGTGCAGATTTCTTCTTATGCTACACCTTTCTGGCCTAGTTGTAGGTTATGGTCGATTCAGAAGTCCCTTGAAGAGATTTAATTTTTTCGATTTTTGATTATAGTTCGATTCCACACAGTACTCTTCGTAGAAGTATGAAATTTTCAGTATGTGATATCGGCAGCCTAAATTTTCCAGGCGGACCACTGATATCAAGTGTGCGTTCGCCTGGGGTCGAACCCCGGACCATGTGCGTGTGCCACCGACGCTCATTGTTTAATTTAGCTCTCCTCCTTGGTAATTAGGTTCCCTTGGATATCCTTTATAGGTCTCAGCTGTGTCAACCTTTTCACGGGTAGAGACCTGGTTGTTTGGTATAATATTCGGAGGTCTCTTTTACCTGCGGCCTGCTTGTCATGCTTCATTTGTCGGTGTGTCTTGGGATTGTCTTTTGTTCTTCTTGACACTCTTCTTCACCTCTTTATTCAGTGTGATGTACATTGAACTCAGCTTCTCCTTCTATTGGATCATCTTCTCTTTCACCATCCTCCTTTCCTTAATTAGCCTCCAGTTATCCGTTGACAGCCATGCCTTGTCTTGCCTCTTCTTTCTTCCTAAGGTGGTTGTACATGTTTCTTTGAGCCTCACCTTTAGAGAATTCTATTGTCCTTCCACGTAGGCCCCCTGAGCCCACATCTAGTCTGCTTCTCGACTTTGTGTCTAACATATCGGCTGTCTCCACTTCCTCGAGCAACATCGAGATGAAATCTATTTGGTTTGTGGTATATCCGTCAGACCAAATCCATGTTGCTTTGTGTATATCCTTGTGTTTTTACACATTGCCTCAGATCACCAGATCATTGAAAGCGCAGAAGTTTGCGAGTATTTCACTGTTTTCATTTACTTCGCCGAGCCAGAGCCTCTTGACCTATGATGAGTTCTATAACTGTACTATCTTCTCCCAGTATGGCTATCATTCATATCACCCATAAGGATTTTGATGTCACCATTTAGGGTGTTGTCCATTACTGTTTGCAATTGTCTATAGAAATCTTCCTTCTTCTCTTGTTCCGCATTGTTTGTAGCACTGTGCGTAGCATTGGATAATCATGACCTTCCTTCCTTCCTTTTGAGTTCAATCTTGCTATCATGATCCTGCAAGAAGAGACTGGTTGCCACTGCATTAGGGTTGTGGCTGCCATTGATGACATCATGATAACCACTCACTGCCTCAGTGTGCTCGTGTTTATTTTCCCAGTGATCAGACTGGAGTAGATTACTGATTCTTAGATTTACAATCTGGATAGTCTACATCCATTCCACCTGCCCTCACAGATTCCCAGAACATCTACATCATATCTTCTTATTTCTTTAGCTACCTAGGTAGCCTTCCCAGCCAGTCTCGTACATTGTACGTTCATTCCACGTCCCTATTCTTATTCTTGCTTTCATAGACAGAATGCACATCGGTTGAGTGGCTTACTGAAGGCTTTCATCAGCCTACATAATTCCAAACGAAGAGTAAGTTTGCTTTTATACTTTTTGTGATCTGAAGTATCCCTCTTCTCCTAGACTTGTGACTGGCTAGAAAACCAGAGATTTAGTAATCTAAGACAGGTCATTAAGAATCATTCAGTGAAGTTTATTACTTTAGAGATGAAACGACGTGAATTCATATCTTCCAGACTGAATTTTCCCATAGAAAAATAATCTAATTACTCCATTCTGATCCAATCAGTCAACGGGGAACAGGAGATTGGTCAATAATTCACCTTCGAATTCGGTAGAATCATGCCACACCGATTGTGACTTCTTCTGAAGTCATACATAAAAAGATGGTTAGTGTATGTGTAGCTTGATTTAATGAGAAAGGATACTGTCCGTAAGTGACTGTGAATTTATTCCAAAAGAAATTCGGGACGATAATCGAACGATTATTAAAACCACGCGTAGAGTGACGCATAAAATCAGAAAACACAGGATTTGTCTAAAATACGGTACTATATTAAACATAAAATATGAAATATAGTATACAAACCTCAATCGTTGGGTGTCTGTAGCTGAATGCCGTCAAAAATGAAGAGTCAATGCGCGTCAGTAAGTAAAAACAGCAGAGCTGTGTCAAAGGCGATCCACGTGTTATACAGACAGCGAGCAAATACCGAACACAGAATCAAGGGATACGGATAAACCGTGTTCAACATTGAAGAGTAGACGAATAAGGCATGCACAGAAAATAACGTTCGACTATAAGAAAATAATTATTGTACATCTCATAGATTATTAATACATCGAGTGAGATAAACTTCAATAGTAAATAAAGACATGGTTAAAAATAAACAAATACAACTTTCACTACTTACTAGAGATAAGTAGCATAAATATTAACACAAAAGAAGGAATGACAAGGGGGTAATTAGGAAAGGAATCAGCCGTAACTCTGTAGAGGGTACTACTGAGACTTTGTAAGTATTATATAGTGTATGACTGACTTCCGCACGAATGTTAGGCAAAGTTTAACTATCAATATCCATGGAATGTGAACGCAAAGCTGACCTTGGGGTGACCAATCATAAAACCAATGGCTTTTAAGCAAAAAATGACATTTATTTACAGAGAATAATGATAATACATATTGATCAGGATAATTTTCCGTGATGTGAATTAAAACTATCTCCCAATTATAATTAGGAGTGCCAGTTTTTAGGTTAAACCAATTACTGTACATGTATTCACTGAGGTGACTGAAGGTGAGTTATTTTTGTGACCCATTTGTCACTCTTTACTTGGTTTTAAGTCTTCTCCGAAAGCCCTCCATTGAATTAGTATAGGTCCTAGTAAGGGGCTCGACAACTATTTGCTAGATAAATGCAGACAACAAAGCAACTTAACCCTAACCCTACCCTTAATCCTAAATTTAGTCCTGATCTTAACTTTAACCCTATTCTTAATCTTAATCCTAACACCAAACCTAATCATAACCATAACCCTAATGAGCTATCAAAATGTTATCCAAACAATACATATAACCAAGACCGGTATGAAGTTTGCACGTCATTTGGTAGGCCCCGTTGTCCAACGATTAGTATGCGTTCAAGGTGATTGATGCGTTCGTATTCCTGGGTTGTTATTGATATGTATCCACATATATATATTTATGTGTGTGTGCATGTTGGTCTCTCTTTCTGTTTGCTCTCTTAGTCTGTGACCATTTCACTTGTATGAACTTGTCTCCTTTAACAATGTATATTCTCCTTATATTATATTATATATAATATGAGTGTTTGTTGACAGTCCGTTGCTAGGTGACATATATCCATATTATATGTGTGGTTGTTGACATGTCTGCTATATTTTGCTATGTATATTTGGATCGACACTCCATTATAATTAGCCATTCATGTTAAGACTGTCTAGTGATCTGTTCACACACTTTGTCTGGATGGTCATATATATTTCGCATTCACAATTTGTGTGAACTACTTTACTTTACAACTACTTGACTTGCTTACCACTTTGGTGTGAGACCATTTATTTTCGTCTCCTTGTGTTTGGACAATAGAAGTATCATCGCAAACCTAGTGGTCTTCTGATTTCCGCCTTCTCGCGTCAGGACTATTAGTTTCTCGACCAGTCCATAACAATAATTTAGCGACGAGTACATAACAGTTATATTTTAACTTGGTCGAATAGTGAATAGTGGAGGGGTGGATTAGGTGGTGAATAGGAGAAATGGAAGATCATGGTGTGTGTGAAACAGGAACTTTCTTCCAGTAATCGACTGGGGCATACGCAATGTCATTTTGCCAGAGATTCACTTATGACTTGAACAGGAGAGTGATAAGTCATGAGAAATCAATACCAAACGATAAATAATGGTTAGGAAAAGGATCTCCAACAGTTTTACTCCTCACATTGAATAAGTTCGAATCCTTGTTCGATAGTATTGTATCGAAAAAGCTTAACACAATCACTTATACAATTTGAAAAAAACTTCGTACAAATAGAAGTTTAATTTACATTGGGGTGAGAGCTAGCTACAAGCCAAAAATTGTAGACAACAATTTGCGTCAATGTGACGTCCCGAATCTGGGTCATGAGAAAAAAACAATAACAAAGCTTAACCTTGAGGAACTCACCAACTAATCACAGCAGACTTTATGTGCGCAAATACAACTCGCAGAGATATGGCTTAATTTGTTGAGAAACGGTTGCAAAAGCAATAACAGAATAACCTTCAGCAAGAAAACAAACAATCAGAAGATGTTGCTTCTCCGCTGACAATAATGTACACAAAAAAATCTATAAATATCTGTTGCCTGGCCCTTGTCTTCTGTCGTTACAACACGAGTTATTTTTCACTCTTAACCTATAGGAATTATCATCAGGTTAATATGAATTGAATCCTGAGGAAGACGAATTTTTCACTTTTAGCATTCATTCACTCAATGACAGCAATCTCATATACACTGATTCACACTGAAAACTATTCACCAAAGTGCAGAAATGCGTCAGTATCATCAATCATTTATTATTTTTATTAAACAAACACGTACATGAAGGGAAATTAAGTAGATATCAGTAGTATTTAAACGGTCTTTTAAAGAAAAATAAATAAATAAATAAATTACAAATGAAAGGTAAATATAGATAATGAATCCAGTCCTTTTTAACACTATATATTCGGTGAATTAACATCGTGTAACAGGTTTACAACGAGTTTTTATCCTTTTTCCAACCCCACATGTACATTTAACTCTTTCATTACAAGCAGGAGTAAACCATGGTGAATAATTTGGTGGACATGCATGAAGTTTACAATGTTGTTCAATAATTTGAGGGGTTATTATATTTTCTGGTAAAATTTCAGATGTAAGCTTTGGATCAGTTTGATTTGATTTTTCATTCATCTTGTACAATTTTGTCTTCTTAGATAATTATTAGTTATTATCACCTTTGAAGGTAGATAGATAGATGGTATTAACGTGATTTCAATGAAAAATCGATACATACAAATATATCATCTGATTTAATTTACTAGCTTACTTATTGATCCCAATGTAGGGTTGGAGAAGTAAGATTGTTTAGGCGAAAAATCCAGTCAATCGCGCTATTGAAACTTCAGTGGAATCAGAGAGACAAAATGACGCCGACTGGTGAATGCCTTTGAAGAGCCAGTCAGCCGATATATCTCCATTATGGATAAGATTTTATTTTGATAAATCACATAGTGCTGTACGGTAAGTGATATTAACTGATGACTATGTTTGAGCACAAATTATTGCTCATAATCATATCAAGTCACTCACACAACTTTTTTGCTAAAAATTGTTGGTTGAAACGTCATCAGTTAATATTACTGTGCAACATACGAAGTGATTTGTCAAAGTAAAATCTTACCTTTGATGGACTTATGCTTTATCACAATGTCCATATGTTATACTTATAATTAATCAGCTAATATATCTCTTCGATAGAAATGTAACAACAGAAGACAAGGGCCAGGAAGCAGATCGTTTATTGAGGAAATCAATACATATTTATAGATTTTCATGTACATTATTATAGGTTATTGTTAGCAGAAAAACACAGTCTTCTGATTGGTTATTTCTCACAGAAAGTTAACCTTGCATCTCTTTGTGGCTGTTTCTTGAATGTCAGATCACCTATATGTTAACTGGATTCGCCTACGCAAAGTCTGTGTTCTTATTTTTCTCACGACCAATATTTGGGACATAAACATTGACATAGATTGATGTCTACCAATTTGGCTAGCAGCCAGCTGTCTACACAGAAGTATAAGAATAGAGCAAGCCAAGTTAGCAAGGCTACTCAGATTGTAAATAAAATGAAGAGGTATGGGATAAAAGTGTCAGAAATCTGTGGGAGCCAATGGAACGGAAGTGGACTCTTGAAATTGTTAACTTGACTGATCATTATAAAATCACCAACAGAGTTGAAGGCTCTCATACAGTGGAAACTACTCTCTACTAGGAAAATGAAGTTAAGATTCAACTCAAAAAAAGAGAAAAGTTACAGTGATGTAAGACTGTTGCGTGCGTTATTTGACTAAACTTGTGTACACGTATATTCTAGTACTTCTTCACTTTTATTAATGTGCGCAGACGTTGTGGCTACTCGACGCCCACAACGTAAAACCAAAAGTCACTTGCGAACAGTACGATCGTGTATTATAGCAGTAGTCAAATTTCGAAATTGTGTCAAGGTAATATTCAGCAGTAAATTGACAAATGTTTGCGAAGTACATATAAAATCGGTCTGTATACACATATAATACGAGTATACAAATTAGATTAAAAAGCATGTTTACAGTTGATATAGGGGTACTACAAGACTACACTGATATAAATAACAGCGATCCAGTAAATAAGAAGTAGGACTCTTACAAACAACAGCAAACAGTAATGGACATTTCATCAGCCAGATGAAGACATCAAAATCCTAACATTTCATACAATGATTCCCTTTTGTAAATTTGAACAAAGAAAGAAGAAACATTGGCGCAGAATAATCTGAATCCATTACATTTCGTCGGTTCTCACCAGCTATGTACAACCTGAAATCTTCAATAAAATAAAGAAAATATACAGAGTTATCAAACGTTTGTCTATTAGCAAGCATATTGTCAGAGCGTCATAGTGAAATAAGATGTGGCGAAATTTTGATTTTCTCTTATCTAATTACGTAACTATTATTAGTTATCTTTTGTCACCAACCCAACAACACAAGTGTTAACTAATTTTTTTTCAAGAAACTTCCCTCTAACAAGATATATATATATATATGTCGTAACACTTTAGACACCTTGTAAATCACTATGACGCTCTGAAAATATGCTTGCTAATGGACAAACGTTTGATAACATTGTACATTTTCTTCATTTTTATTAAAGATTTCAGGTTGCACGCAGCTGATGAGAACCGACGAAATAAAATGGATCCAGATTATTCTGCGCCAATGTTTTTTATTCTTTTTTGTTCAAAATTCTAGCAGTTGACTCGAATGTCAGCAAAGTTGGGAGCACACAGCACAGGAATAAAATTCATCATGAATAGAAACGGAGAGCTCTTCGCAGATTTTCGTACTTTCATTGATTCGGTAAAGGCAGTGACTTCAGGCACAAGGATATACACCAGATGAACACACCGAAAATTATGAAGACTTCATTTCGATCTCAAGAAGTTGGAGATACAGCATAATGGATACAACATTGAAAAGATGAGCAGATGTAGGCTCAAGCTTCACTATCTAGTAGTAGCATCCCTTAAGATTAAGCTGAAAACCTTCACAGAAGCTGGAGACAGACCACAGTTTGTGTGCAACACTCAGAAACTCAAGGATGACACGACAAGGGAGACATTCACCTGTGTCATCAAGAAAACGTCAGAGGCATTAAGCAACATCACAGAGGAAACATCCTTATATGTGTTGCGTGTGGTTGAGACATGTCTTCCGTGGTGAGTGAGAGAGACTACTTCCTTTGGATTCCTCCCATTGATGGTCATTATTGTATAGAAAAATGTATATTCGGGACAATATATCTGTGCATCTGCGTTGGTGGCATGGAGGTTAAGAATCTTGCCGACTATGCACATAGTACTAGGTCGATCACCTGACGACGCACACGTGATATCAATGGTCAGCCTGCAAAATTTGGGCTACCGATATCACATGCTGAAAATTCCATACTTGTAGCAAAAATACGGTGTGGAATCAAGCTGAAATAAAAAAGTATTTGTTTTCATACACAAAATCTAATGAACCGCACTATTCCCCATTTGAATTGTAGGACTTCTATTCCTTAATCAATCATTCATAAGCAGTGAATTTCTTTTACTGGTTGTGTAATATTTCTGATGGATTCAGGCATGTGAACTCTTGTAGAACTCTCATAAACTGGAATGAATGAGGTACTCAGTATTCCTCGGTTTTAGGTGATTCTCTAACTAACATTCATCCATGACGAAAACTATCCTTGACGCTTATTATCATTTACTAACTTAATTGAAGTTCAATTCTGTTATGTACTCATCGAGTGGTTAATAGTAGTTTTCCCCGTCGCCAATTTTCTGTTGTGTACTGCTGAGTGATTAATAGTCCTTACGCAAAAAGAGGAATATCAGAAGACCACCACGTTCACGATGATACTTGTATTTTCCAAACAAGGAAAATAATGAGTGGTACACAAGTGTGAGAGAGAAGGGTACGTAATGTACGAAAATGTGTGAACAAGTGTCTATAAGTGTACAACGCAAAAGTATATATGAAAATGACTAATACACATGAACCAATGAGACAGATAGTTTTACCATGGTTGAGTTCTGATTGGTTGTAATGTCATGTGATAAAAAGATCATACATTGTTTATCTAGTTAATGGACAGACAAAAGCATATTGTCAGTTACAATTGAATATCGATCAATATACACATAGCAATATACAACAGACTGTCAAAAACAAAACACACATCATATGACTACATATCAGATTCCAAACTAGATCATGAACTGACATCAGTTAGAGAACCCATTAGAAGCGGCAGAGTACCATCTTGAAGTCAGTCAAATCCATACAAACCACCATCAAGGGGAACTCAACAGCCTATATGTTTTTTAGCTTAACAAGTGTGTAAAACAATGAACATGGAAACAAAAATTGAAATAATAATTTTCAACCTGAGATGGGGGTTAGGAGGTGCGAATGTAGATTACAAGAGACTTAGAAACAAAAGTAATACAGGGTTAAAACGAATTACAGGTTTATTGAAAATGAGAATGGGCGTCTGTGGCATAGCGGTTAGGACGTTCGCAGACCATGCACACGGTCAGGGGCTCAATCCCCGACCGACTCACTCCTTTACCTCGCTAAGCCAGAAATAATAGCTGATAAAGAGAAAAGATTTGACATGAGGCTAGCAACCCCATCCTGTAAAATAAACACTGCTACAGAAACTTCAAGCCCCATGTTCCACTGGGAAACGTGAAGGAAAAGAGAAAAGAAAATGAGCATGGAAACAAAATTGAATTAATAATTTTAACTTGAAATGGAAGTTAGGAGGTGTGCATAAAGATAACAAGAGCCTTAGAAACACAAAAATTGCACAGGATTAAGATATAATTGTAAAATAGTTATTTTTTTAAACGAATTATAAATGTGAACAGGAACAGCATGGAGATAAACTTAAAATAACTGTTTTTATAACTAAAAAATGAGGTGAATCGAATGAAGACAGTGGGAGTAAGAATCAAACACACAGCGAACGAAAAAAAGACAGAAGACAAGTAGTTCAGCGAAGAGTCTCTTTTCGGCGAATTCATTTTCATAGCTGTACAATCGCAAATATATATTTGGTTATTTCGTGTGTGTGTGTGTGTATACATTAAATTTGTCAAACGAAAATACAATTAGTAAGTTCAGGTGAATTGGATGTTCATATAAGAGGATGGCAACATCCAATTCATCTGAACTTACTAATTGTATTTTCGTTTGACAAATTTAATGTATATACACACACACACACAAAATAACCATATAGATATATATGCGATTGTACAGCTATGAAAATGAATTCGCTGAAAAGAGACTCTTCGCTGAACTACTTGTCTTCTGTCTACTAATGTTCGAATGGGAATTATTCATGAACGAAAAAAGATCAAAAAGAAAAAGCAGAACGAAAAGAGAAAAAATGCATAAATGGGAATATGGAAATATACATAAAAATTGAGTCCATAACTCTAATATAAACACAACACACATAACACTCGCTTGGTTGAATAGACGTTTTCATTGGACACTAGTAACTAGTGTGATGTATTTAGTCCTCTGATTGGTGCAGACTGAATTCTATCAGTCAGATTTGCAGTATGGCTACCATACTAGGTGGTATCTCGCCATCACGGTGCACATTGATTTGATGATATTAGATAGATAGTTGGAGGCGATCGGCCACAGGAAGCCTTGCTTGACCTAGGTTTTTTTTTGATGACAGCTTGATTCCACACCGTAGTTTTGGTACAAGTATGGAATT